GCACTCGCATATGCCAGTTCGATATGTTCCGCAATTTATTGCCCTGCAATTGGAACATTCCGCATCAAAACTACTCAAATCACGTTGGTGGATTAGCCTGCATTTATGCAAAATGTTAATCATTCCTCTTGGCGATATTTGGCTAAGGCATGTTCATTTAGTAAAACTGGGGATTCCAGGCTGCAAGTTAGAAATGAGAACCGTGGGAAGTCCAGAGCCCGATATTCTGCAGCATATAATAATTTTTATAATGGTGTGCTTTCTGGATATTAGTGTGAATGACTGTGCCCCGACAAAAGGTGTATTTGTATCTAAGGTTTGTTATCATAAGCATTTAATCAGTAGAGAAATGAAAAATGGTTCGTACGGAGCGTGTGAGCTAGTTGCTTCAACACTCATGATCTTGACCAAAGCCAATTATCAACAGCTTGACCACAAACCGTGTCGGCTGATATAATAGCAGTTTCAGTTCTCTCTGCCGATATATGGAACAGGTAAAATCCTAACCGCATCTACTGCAGCCTTTGGCTTTATTTATCTATGTCCGTCATTGAGTGATGCGTAGACCAAACCAACACGCTCAAGCGATAACTGTGGTTTAGATTAATGCGCATTCTCTTGAGTTGCTTCACTGTGATGAAGTGAATCTTCGAAAAGTTTAACAGCTGCAAATCTTCCCATTTTCCGAAAAGCCAAATAGCTAGGAGGCATTCTGCCTTTAATCACATAGCCGTGAAAATATGCGCGCATTCATTAACACTGTAGTCGCATGTCAAATAGCGGACATATCACCAGTGATAGCATCAACTGATTTTGGTCGCTTTAGGCATATTGACGCTTATCTGTAAATTTAAGCGTCAGCCATCTAGCCTGATCATGATTATGCAAGCTGCCCCCTGAATTTCGGTCTTTCCTAACCAAATTTTAGCCCTTTAACTTAAAATTATTATCCTTGTTAAAACCAAAGCAAAGTGAGCGTGCCAGTGTTAGCAAGAGTGTCATCTAGTGCAAAGAGAAATTGCTGAAATACAAGTGTTCTTAT